TATGTGACACCACGTGAGTATGGCTGAGTTGGCTATGTCCTGCAAGCTGGATCCCTCTTAGAAATTCCAAGATATATACTCACCCCATTTCTGAGCTATTTATCCCCAAACTAAGCAATGATTGACAGCTGGTAGAAGGGGAGACTGCCTTGACAGCTTTCTCAAAAACTTGTTTTTCCAAGACAAAACGGAAGATACGAACAAAGTGCTGTTTCATTGTGAACTTACCAGTTCATGCCTGTACTCAGCCCTCTTTAAACCACCATCCTTCACCATCTCTATCCCATATACCAAGCCGCAGTATGTAATTATTCGTTTGCAAGCAGAAGCACTGCCAACCCAGTTAACATCCTTGCTTTTCTTCTCGCCAAAGCTACTCTGGGCAGGGGTAGAACCGGGCTGATCTTAACCATCACCTCCTCCATGGGCTCACTCTATCTTTTTCCTCAGACTCCCGCACCCCCTTTTCAGCTGGCCCTCAGAGTCCCTGACCCTTCTGAGAAGGTAGATCCAACAATTAATGATTTATTTGGATATACAAACACTCCATTTTCTCAGCTATGTTTAACATCATTACCACCAGTTGACTCCCCCTGAAGACTTTAAGGAACCCAAGAGAGGGACACATATAAAGAGGGGCCTAGGGACACACAGGAAGGGCTGGAGGTTGTGTGACTCTGGTGGCCACTCTTGAAGGTGAGCAGAAGTAAGATTACTCCATCATTCTTCTCGGAAGGAGTAGAAATCCTTCACTGGGACTGGGGACTTCACCTCAACCTACCCACATAGGTCAGTTGATTTCAGACCAGGGAGAGGTCTCTGGAGACAGCAGAGACTGCTACTGGGGCCTTTGGACAGAAGTCATAGGTTACTGGGAGCACTCTGATCTGATGGTGATGAACTTGAACTCTGAAGGCAAGTACCCTCCTTCTGCATCCTAGTTCTATAAACTTACTTGGATTCATTATAACATTTAGCCTTGGTTTACTGATCTATGAAAGGCATACAATAGGTCCTTGTGAGGAACATGTAGAGTAATGGTGGTAAATCATGGAGCCTGTCATGTCTTAAGTCCTCCACAGACATTAGCTATTATTATCAGTATTGTCTTCCATTATTGGATTCCAGACCTGACCCTCTTGAAGATGACCAACCATCTCTCTGAAGATCTATGTTTCAGGGGCCAAGGCAGGCTACCCCAGCTCTGCATTCAGCCAGATGTGGCTCAGCACACACAGCATATGAGGCAGACTGGGAGGGCCAGGACCTGACAGGACCACCCATCGGGCTGGGGAAGGTGCTGGCAGGATGGCCTCAGCTGCAGCTGCTGGGCAACCATCCAGGGCGACAGGCAGAACGCAGCGTGCAAGGGTGTGGAAACAGACAACAGGTGGCAGCTCAGAACAGTCTGCGGCTGGGGAGGGGAGTGGCAGATCTTCTAGCATTTGGTAACAGGGTGTCCCTACCAGCAGGTGGGCCACAGCCATAGGCAATTCCAGAGGGGTATTCTAAGATCCAAGCAGGCAGGCAGTATCAAGAAAGTCTGTCAGCAGATCCTAGCACCCATAAAAGGCTATATCTGGTGGGGAGAGGGGGAAGACCAGTGAGAACAAAGCAGGGCCACAGGTCTAGAAGGAGAGGAGACTGCTCCTTAAGACAAGGCCACAGGCCCAGGACAGAGGGAGCAGTGCAGTTGCCAAAGCATGGCCTCCAGTGCACAGGAGAGAAGGCCTGCAGGGCTGAGAGTGAAACAGGTTCTGATGTGGATGTGGTCCAGCCTTACGATACCCACATACCCTACCCTAAACCAGGACAGGCCAGTCACCAGGACAATGACAGCAGGCCTGAGACCATGCTATCCTCACAATGATGGTGCAGGAGGGGAAGCTAGAGGTCATTGTAAGGTAAACCGCCCCGACACTGTGCGCATGCACGTGCATGCACACACAGACACACACACACACAGAGTTTTCTCCTACTACAACTCCATTTTTCTGATTTTTATCCTTTGCCTGTTTTTTTTTTTTTTTTAATTCCCCAGGTCCTACTTGCTTATAGAGAAGAATCAAAATAGGATCAACATTTTTAATGAAAAGCCCAGCCTATCAGGACCTAACAAGAAGTTAGGTCACTAGAACACCCCACCAGCAGCACCAGTCTCTGGGCACATCAGCTACACTGTCCCTTTACCTGACCTGGCAGGACCACTTCCTCCAAGGATGTCTGAAGAGCTAGTGACCTGGACTTGGTGGGAGCAAGCCAAACTGCCTTCTCAGTTTTCAAGCACAGTTACTGGGGTGTTTTCAGCACAGTTGCTGGGGTGCATAACATATGGATCTACCTGGAGTTGAGCCCTGTAGAATCCATCTGGAGCGAGGATCCTAGAATCTTTCCTTGCCTCCAAGATTTCCTGGATACAGAAAAGGCTGCATGACCAATGATATCAGCCAGAGAATTTTTAATAAAAAGAGAGGGTGACACAGGTGATAGAAGAGCTAAGAAGCCACATAGGGATGATAAGTCAGTCCAGATATAAGCAACAGCAGGGAGCCCACTTCTCCTCTAAGGCTGGAGGGAGCAAGGAGAGAATGTGGGGTTACCAGCGTCCAAAGCTAAGGTGGTCAGTGGGAATTGTAACGACAGAGAGAAATGGCATCTAGAGTGAACTAGTCACAGAGACCCTGATTCTGCCAAAGGCACTATAGAAAGCAGAGAGGATAACCCAACTTTCCCCTTTCTACTACCTTATAATCTTCTGGGGTGGGGGGGTGGCACTAGCATTTCTCTGTTTTAGAGGAATACTAAAACCAGCTCCCCAGGGAGCAACACTACCTTAGTCCTCTCAGCCTCCTGAAGTTGGAAATGTGTCAGCTGTCCCTGGTGCTCTGTTAGTACACAATCAGAAATCATCAGAGTGGGATGACAGCCCTGAAGGAATTGGGCATTGTAAACAAGGGGTGCCCTCCCTCAGGGGCTCTTTGGACCCTAGTTAGTGCCCTAGTCCCTGCACTATGGTGGGGGCGGGGGGCCTTTGAGTCATTTCCTGCTCCCAAAAAAGGTCTGCACTGTGCCTAAGGAATGCTGAGGTAGGTATCTGGCTGGGGACCAGGAGGGAAGTGTCCAGGGCAGCAGAACACTCAGCCTGCTCTTTAGAGGAGCAGGAGGGAGCAAGGAGAGAATGTGGGGTTACCAGCGTCCAAAGCTAAGGTGGTCAGTGGGAATTGTAACGACAGAGAGAAATGGCATCTAGAGTGAACTAGTCACAGAGACCCTGATTCTGCCAAAGGCACTATAGAAAGCAGAGAGGATAACCCAACTTTCCCCTTTCTACTACCTTATAATCTTCATCACCTCATCACCTCCCTTCTCCTTTCTTTTTACTTCTCCCCCCAAACCCGACAACATGGCCCAACTTCCTTTAGGCCTCTCCAGGGACTCACCCAAGATATTCCACCAGACCTGGCATGTGCCTCAACATCCCCCATTCCCCACTATACCCACCCAACAGCCAGTCCCTGATATGGGAAGCCTTTGCCTGCCAGGGTCGTGGAAATTAGAATAAGGAAGGAAATTGGCTGGGGAGAAGAAAAGGACATTTCTAAGACACCTGGAAGCCTTCCTGGCCCAAGAGAGGGAAGGCTTTGCCCAGCATGGTTGAGGGTCTGAATACAAGCCTGAGATAACATGTAAAGTGGTAGGATCCTCCTCACCCCACTATGCTGTTCAGACGTTGCCATTTACTAGATTCGGGTGTCTGGTGTTCTCAGAACTTATTGGGCATAAGTTCTCCACTGGCAGGAATTTGGGATGGGGGGTGCCTGGCTTCTGAAGAGGCCACCCTCACTTCCTTTTCTCCCTGTGCCAGCATACTATTCCCCAACCAGAGGCGGCATCCATTTCCCTTCCCTGGAACCTGTACTTGACAAACAGAGCAAAATAGAAATGCCATTCTTGCACTTCCAAGACTAAGTCATCAGACATCTTGCAGCTTGACTGAACCTCATGACCACTTGTGCTTGGGACACCCCCTTGGAACCCGCCACAAGGCTGTGAGAAACACAGGCCCTGTGGAGAAACCACATGTGAGCCAACAGCCTCAGCCGAGACCCAGTGAACAGCTAGCATCAATGCCCGTCAGGCGAGTCAACCACCTGGTCACCTGGTGGGCCGAGCATCCCCATGAATGTCACCCCATTAGCAGCTGATCAACCACAGGAAGAACCCCAAGTGAGAGCCATCCAGCTGAGCCACTTTAAACTACTAGGTTTGGTGGATTTGTTGTGCAGTAGTACATAACTCAGATTGATGACTTTCAACAAGCCACCTCTCTGCTCAGTAGTTTTGGCAGCGCCTATTCTCTCTCTCCTCACCCCTGCCTCCCAGAAGTCCTCTCGTGTGGGGCTCTCTTCAGTGGATAACCAAGTAAGGAGTGGCACTTACTTGGAAGACAATGGGAACAGCCTGAGTCGAATGTCCAGCTGTACTGGCTGAGCACATAGTAGGAGCTCAAGAAGGCTGACCAGCAGCATGCTGGCACCAGACATGTAGCCCCCCTGACCCAGGATGGGCCTTCCCACTGGCAGATGTCCTTTGTGATGAAATATTGCCATCTGGTTTCCACCTACCATCTCCCTGGCTGATGAGGATGCGGATAATGCTGTCTCCAGAGATTCATGACCACTTCCTCCCACCCCATTCCTACCCTTCCTAGCTCAGGAAATGAAAAGCAATTTTTCCCCAGGGCCTGTTTACCCATAGCAACATAATAGGATTTCCAAAACCAATCTCACAGCCAGTTCCAATATCTGTCTTCACTGTAATAATAATAATACAGATGCTGCACCTGCCCCCAGATTCCGTTTTCTGTTCTTGTGTTTGTTCATTTGTTTCTCTAGGATCTTTAAACATCTGATTAAATTTCATGCTTCAAATGAAAAGTTTCGAAGATGGAAGATTATCAGACTTGGTAACTTTCATCAACCCACCTCTCTGCTCAGTGGTTGTGGCAGCTCCTATCCTCTCTCTCCTCACCCCCAGGCTCCAGCAGTCCTCTTGTGCCCGGTGAGTTCATCTCCTAGTTGCTGGGGACACTCTCCTCTCCCTGAAGTCTCTGACATGGGTAGCAGCTGGAAGAGGATCTCAAATCAGTGTGCAGCCCATGACTAACAAACGATGTAGTTGAACCAGGGATAGAATTCCTTCTATGCTCAACTGAACAAAAAGGGGTCAGAGACTGCAGGCTAACATGACACTCCTTCCCTGTGCTACTCCTTGTAACAAATTCTTTCCTTCCTGAAGTGGGCAGACAGTGCAGGCAAAACCAAGCATCCAGAGACCCAAGGCACTGAGGCTGGGCTGTGTAACTGCAGGCGCCCATGCCCATGTCTCCACCAAGTACCCCTACCGTCCCTTAGGAAAACAAAAGCATGCAATGGATCCAGACCATGCTTGATCTGCAGAGCCTGATCTCTAATTTTGTTCTGTGAACATAAATTGCCACTTTAGACATCTTGGTTGCAAGACAGGTCCCAAGCAGTTCTCATTTACTGCATTCCTTACAAGTAACATCTTCAGCTACCAGGCAGGCAGTGGACTCCAGGCCAACAACTTTAATGCAGCAGGAAATGTTTTTTGAGATAACGGCCAATTTTTTTCCCTCCCATGAGCCCACTTCTGTCCTCCCACCCCTCCACCCTACCCAACTCATCTTCCAGCAGCTAAGCCGTTGTACACTTTCTGCCCCAAGGGAAGGATGTGATAGGGAGAAAAAGGAAAATACAAGCTTTGATGTCTAGGCAAGATTAAAATATTTAGAAGAAACATCTCTTGTGAGAGCAGGGCTTGTCTCCACCCTTCCTCTACACTCCCAGAAATAAACAGCAAAGATTTCTCTAAGATGGTAAGGGGAAGGAGAAGGAGGGTAGGTGGTGTGAGAGAGAGAGAGGTTGCCAGGCCTCTGATCTGAAGGGCCCATGCAGATAGGATGAAGAACATCCTGCAATGGGCCTATGCAATGGGGACACTGCTGGCCCCCGGAATCCTGGGCATTAGCACCAGAGAGAAGCTCCCAATTGTCTTTTCTGGTGGGCCAACTAGTGACTTTTTCCACAGCAGCCAACATGCAAGGGATGACTCTGTCCCATCCTACGTCCACCCAGTCCCACAATGTCCAAAGATACCCGAAGCCTCAAGAAAAGGAAATTAGGCCCTCATCCCTCATTATTACCATTACACCACACAACACACCTGTTGGGAAGCAGTGCAAACACTCCCTTACCACCCTCAAGCTGGAAGAAGGTTATACTGACCTCAGTCACAAGTGGGACTGAAAGGATAGAGCACAGGCGAGGTGGCAAGCATATACTTAAGGCTTTTCGGACCTTATTTTACCTAGTGACAGAACAGGCATACAAATTGCCCCATCCATCCTGAAAACATGGCTCAGACTTAGCTCCCTTCTGAGTGTTTCCTGACTGCTCAACATCATGGAATGGTTATTCTTTCCTTGGCATTATGTCTGCAACGTTTGCGATGGTTCCACTATTACAACTGCATTGTAATTACTTAACTAAGGGGTCTGAATCCATCATTGGATTGGAGCTTCTTGGGATCCAGGCCCGAGTCTGACTCATTTTTGCATGCCTTGTAATTGGCACATAATAGGCACTAAATTAATGTTTGCATAGTTAAATCGAATTGTCCACCGAATTCTCTTTTTAAAATTAGAAACAGAATTCCTCATTAAATCACTCCAGAGCAAGGAAGACAGTCCTACAGAGCAAGCAATAAAGGAAAACACAATCTGGCAACACATCATTGGGTTTCACCTGTTCCTAATTGCTATTTAATGTTTCCTAAGCAGTTGCTCTCAGACTTCTCACCTGACTCTTCTCATTTGCCTACTCTCCTTGAGCCCCAGCCTTACCCCGAGCCCCTCATTTTGGACTCTGGCCAGTACCTCTCCTCATCTTATTGAAAATAAGAATGTCTGCTACCAAACTTCCTCAAATTCTCATCTCCTTACCTCAATAGCTCTTGGAAATGACTAGCAAAATGGGAAAGGGAAGGCGTCTCATACATTCACTGCCCAGAGCAATTTTTTAAAATGAGTTTCTTGTTTCCTGTTAAATTTCCTATCATAGAATGATGACCACCTAGCAAGGAATTTCTTCCCTGCAAAGTTCACTCAATTCCCAAATCCTGTCCTTGGGTTCTGTGTGCAACCCCACAGCACAGCCCACTTTTCTTTCCCACACAACTCATGGACCAGCAAGCTAGACCTTGGGTGACTAATGGAAATCTCAGCTTCCTTTGTGGCGGTTGTTCCAAGCTGCACCATATTTTACTGTATTGTAAATTTTCACTTTTGAAAAGATGATCACTGAGCATGTTAAAAATGTTTTTCAACAAAACCAGAGCATAGCTAGTGAAACACTTGCTCCCTCTTAACCCTAAACCAGATGCTCAGCTCCCTTCCCCAAAAGCATACATGGCTCAGGCCTGCAGATAACAGGGGTGCTTATGTAGTGGCAGTGCCATTCTCTGTTCTCTTCCTTGCCTTTTTCACTTAACAATGGATCTTAGAGATTGCTCCACAATCTACACATAGACTGGCTTTATTCTTACCCATGATATGATACTATGATATGGTACTATGATGCATATACTCTCCTATTGATGGGCTCATTTCCAGTCTTTATTATGAACATATTGCAGTAACTATCTGGTTACGGTTCTCTTTGTAGATCTGTTAGGAAAAAAATGACAAAAATGGAATTTCTAGGTCAGGCAAATGTATATTTAATTTTGGGATATATATTGCCAAATTATTTCCAAAATGATTGCTCAGTTCACACTTCCATGAGCAATGTGTGAGAGTGCTGATTTCCTCCCAGTTTTACCACTCTCCCACCAAACCTTCCTGTCTTTTCTCCCCTCACATTACTCTGTTCTGTGAATAAGTCGTTAGCTCCTAGTGCCTTCTCAGTGATTCTTCCACATTCAATCTCTCTGTTCCCATCTAAAGTTCCTCAAGAGTCATGCCACTTCCCTGCTCAAGAGCACTCAATAGCTCCCCATCACCTATGGAATTAAGAACAATTTCTCTTTAGAGGCATCTGCATAGATGACACCAACTTTGCCAGCTGCTAATTTCCCTGAATGTCGCCTATCTTCCAGTCCCACCCAAATTCCATTTTTCAATGTTCCCCTAATCTTTCCCTCCTCCCTGACTTTCACCACACTTTTTCTTCTACCTATAAAGCCTCTGCCCATCTCTGCCTCCCAAAATTCTCTTCATCTTTCTTGACTTTTGCCAAACACCCCTTTCTCCATGAAGTCTCCACTGGTCCCAACAATCAGAGGTGAGGTCCTCCCTAGTGGCACAAGGGGTTAAGCACAGCACCACATGAAGCTATCCACAGCCTCCGCAGCACAAGTTGGATCTTCGGCCAGCCAGGAAGCAACCCACATGGTGCAGCAGACCCCTCCTGTCTCGCCTGCTGCTCCCTTCAGCAGTGTATTTCAGTTAGTCTGCCTTTTCTGTTCCCCAGTCTGTCTCTGGTGAATCCACCCCGGCACCTCTGGCCTGTACCCCAGTTCTTGTATGCTCAGAGGTGACCTGCTTTTTCCCTGCACCCTAAAGCACCTTGTTTGTTCTTTTCCTAAGACTTGCATCTCAATCTGCTGTAAATAAACCAAGAACTCAAGGAAGCTCATGAGCTTTGTTTCATTCATCCCTGCATCGGCCAGAGCTCCTTTGCTTTTTGTTGAAATAAATTGTAGACACAAGTAATCAGATTGATGGGAAGAAGGGATTAGGTGGGAGTTACTGTTCTCTGGCTAACTCATCACATCCAGACAGCTGGGCTGGGGGCTGCGCAAGCTGCTTCCCTGCCTGTCTTCCCTGCTGTGTCAGATATGGGCACTGATGAACCTTCTTTAAGTTTCAAGTAAAAGAACACCCAAGCCCTTCAGCAAAAAGGGGACTTGTTGACTGTGGTCTTGTCACCAGAAACTGGTCTCTCTCTCCAGTCCTCAGTCTTTTGTCCTGTGTACTGGTTCCACCATCAGACAGGCTGTCTTCTTTGGAGATGCTATGGTAGCAACATTAGTGGTTAGTCATACTCTCACATCATCCTGAATTAAGTCCAGGTGAAAAGACACCCCACCTTCCTACTAACAGCCTCAGCAAAGGTCCCCTTGCCTTTCTCTGTCTCTTAATGGATGAGATGTTCACCCTTGATCATGGGAATTAATTCCTCTGACTGGTCAGACCTGAGCATATATCTGCTCTCAGAGTCAAAGACTGAGTGCCTTCAACAAGCACATGGGTGTGTTGTATATGGAAGAGTTCCACAGAAGGAAATTGACGTGCTATTACCAAAAGAAAGAAGAACAGATGCTGTTGACCAAAACCACCAAATAGCTACCATGCACTGCTACCCTCCTGGAAGGGAGGGATGGCCCTGAAGCCCCAACCGGCACTCTCCACTACCCTGGAGGCAATAGTTCCAGCTTCCAAACACAACATGGTCCCCCAAGGTTTGTGGCTCAGCCGCAGGACCAGTGCGAACAGATCCTAACCAAACCCCAGACCGGGCAATGGCTGGCGTGGTCCAGCCGGCTCCACGTTATTAGAACCAGGAGTCCCAGTCCCAGCCCCAAGAGTTGTAGGATTGTTTATCTTTGTTGGGGAAAAACTGCAGCCAGAGTCATAAATCACTGCCCAGCTGGATAGCTTCGCTGAAATGTTTGTTTAAACAATGAAATCTCCTGACGGACTGAAAATATAGGATGGATCACCCTGTCCTCAGGCCTAGTCTCACAGGCTGGAATCTGGGGCCTGCAAGAGGGACTCAAATTTAGTTCCCCACCCCCAGCTCCCAGTTCTCCCACCCCCAATATCAGCACTAAAGAATGGAGCCACAGCATAGCTAATCTGAAACAGCAGATAATGCAAAAGCCATGTCTATCAATCTTTGAAATGCAATCTCTGGAGTGGTTTGCATTGGACGTGCCGTCCTAATGGAAGTAGCATTTCTTGGTTAATGTGCACAAAGAGGCTGTTTAAGGGGTGGTTTCTTAAGGGCCCTGAGTAGAGCATGGGCGATCTGGCTGTGTGCAC